TCTTCAACAGAGGAGGCAAAGGCTTTGGCAAGGGCGGCGGCATGGGAAGCGCGGGAGACACTGCGGTAGAATTCGATGGCCTCGCGCAGACGGAAGCGCATGGACTGGAGGGAGATGCGCCCGCGCTGGCGGACGACAGCGCCGCGCGCAGCGCGCCGTGGTACATTGCGATCGCAGCGGGCGTTGCCCGAGTTGGGCGAAGCTTACAGATCCAGATGATTCAGAACAAGCTGCCGTCGTTCTATTGCGAATGGTGCGAAACTCCGCGCCCCCCCTACCGGGGCGTCGCCCGCCCCGACATCGCGTTCGTCTACGACCAGGGCGGGCGCCCGATGAAGCAAATCGCAAAGGAGAGTGAACGCAGGAGCATACACATCGGCATACCGCACAAAACCCAGGCTTATTTGGGCGACCCAGCGTTGGAGGCGGCCGCGAAACGATTGGATCAGTCCTGCCGGCAGACATTCCGGGCAAACGCCGTCGCGCACAAATTGTGCATGGCCGCCCTCGCCCTGGCGAAGAGAGGGTTGAACGTCGACCAGCCGTTCTTCTTCTGGGGGGCTGGCGGCGTCGGGCTTTCGCCGACGACGGCCCATCTCGACGCCATGCGGGGGCACTCCAACCACAAGTATTTCGACCCGCAGGTGTTCTATCTGGACGAGGAGATGCGGAAGACGGTGGAGTCGTTCAAGGGCGCAATCGTCCTCACGGCACAGGAGAAGCCAGAAGGCTTGAAGAAGAGCTTCCGGGAGGACTTGTTCAAGAAGCTGGCGTCTGCCGATGGCATTTTTTGTCGACTCCCGTATCTGATTTTGACAAAGGTTATATATCTGATCGGGTGGAAACGCATGGAGCTAAACAAGCTCATCACTTTCGACGGAGTCACTGAGGGTGCATTCCACGCAATTTACCGGAGGTCTCTTCTGATCAAGATTTTCGCTAGGTTTGTCGATGCGGAGTACATCAGGCGCGCCTTGCCGAACGCGGAGAAGTACGGCATCTTCCCGCGGGCGCCGGATCTGAAGCCATTCGCGCAGTCGGGGCCCGCCATCGCCGCTGGTCTGCAACGACAGCTCGGCTTCGAGCGGAAATATGGCGAAGCCGCAGCGAGGTCGGTGATAGACGACTACTGCTCGCGCGGAGGAGATCAAGGGCTGACGGAGAAATACATGCGACAGGCGTGTCTTCTTCCGGCGACGAAGCAGCCGCAGCCTGGCGGCCAGAGAAGCGCGGCTGCCCCGCCGCCCGGCGTCGACTTCGACGTCGGAGTGGGCGGATCGCAGGAGGCGGAAGAGCCCATGGCGCAGTTGCGCCGCCACGTCATTAATGAGATGCTCGAGCGGAGCTTAGACGCCTTGACGTTTCCATATTTCAAGCAGATGCCTGCAGGGCAGGTTCAGGGCGTGCCGGAGAGGAAACCGACGGTGTGGAAGGCGATGGAGTCCGCCGGGTGGTCGAAGGCTGGTCTGCATGGCAAAGCGAAGGACCCACTTTTACCGAAATTGTTGACCGCCCGCAAGTTCGATGATATTGTGCCGGCGCCGAACTTGGATGAGCCGACCGTGCTCCCGGAACAGTGGGACCGCGCGGCGCTGAGCTGCCACGCGAACGGCAACGCTTGTCGCAAGCACAACATCGACATCATGATTGAGGCCCTAGGTGCCGTCCCAAAGCTGCGCGGGCGGAAGAAGCGCGGAACGGAGACCGAGATTGGCGGCGACGCCCATCTGCGCGCGGTCGGCGCGTCCATCCAGGCAGGAGAGCGCGCTCTGGAAGGGTTGCTCGAGAGCATGCGCGGGCGGCCGACCGTGGTGCCCGCCGACGCACCAGCGGGGGAGAAGAGGAACATCTCTGCGAAGAAGAGCCTCAGCGGTGGCGCCGATTTGGCAGAGCGCAGCATTCCCTGCACGTATAATCGCGCAGCGGCCCGTCGTTTCGCGGAGGGCGCGGCGGCGCAGGGGTGCCCGGCGCGCGTTCTACATCCGACGTTGCAAGGCGCCGTAGATCTCGACATCCACTGCGCGGTCCTGGCCATCATTTGGCAGCTCGTGGAGAAAATGGACATGGACGACAAGGGCCTGTTCAGAGAGGAGCTAGAGTTGTTGGAGCGGCTGGCCGAGGACAGGGGCGAGGTACTGCGCGGCGAGTTGCCGGACATGGGGCCCGGAGCGGCCAAGCGCTTCGTGCTCGAGACCATCGGCGGGTCCCATTCTTTTGACGTCGATGCCAAGCCCTTCGCCAAGAAGTTGCAACGCGTGAGCCGCGTACTGCGGTGGCTGGCGTGCTCGGCGTTGCCCGAGATACACGAGAGATTCTGCCAGGACGCCGCGCAGGGCGACGGCGAGAAGACAGAGAAGTGGCCGGAGGGGCAAACGTTCTCGACTTTCTACCAGCGCGCGGAGGACTACATCCTCCGCCAGTGGCAGGCGTGGGTGCTAGCGCACCCGGTGAAGCATTTGTCCCTGCATTTCGACGGCGTCAGGGTCAGCAGGGACGCGGT